TGAAACATTACGACAGTCAGTGTTCTCCTCGGTAAAGATCCTGATAGAAGATCCTGACGATATTTTCAACAAAAACGACTCCTCCTCCAGTATTTCATACTGTTTCTCATGCTCCTCCCTCCGCTCTCCCCCCACTTTGACAGATGCCCTGTCAACCCGTGCAACAGAGGACAAAAGCCCTTTTAAATCAACAGAGGGAGCTGCTGTGCTCACAGAGCTCATTAGAGTCTGTGTCAGGGTCAGAAATAAGCTCAAAGAAACGACCTTCAAATCTGATATTAACCTTGAAATTTCCATGGCGTAAAATAAATTATTTATCTTTGGGAAAATATCCAACTGGGCTTCTGTGAGATGAATAATGGCGTTGTACTAAGTCATGGAGCCCACGTTTATGTAGACTGTTTCTTGGACATTCAAAGGACTAGACTTAATGTGTGCGAGTGAGCTAAACGCTAGCAAAATATAGCTAACATTAGAGAAGGGTAAAAGAAAAAGTTCATAAAAATTATTTAAAATTAGGTTACAGGCACTTAAGCTAACACAAAAATAATTAATAGTCCACAAAATATAGCTACACAAATCAGACAGGTGTTAATTAAGGGTTAGATTAGAAGTTGGCAATAGTTAGTTAAGATGACAGTTTGAAATTTGATAGAAATATAAATGTTATCTAGACTACGAATGACATGTTGTTAGCCTAACAGCTAAACATTTAGTACGACAATACCTAAAAGGTAAATAGCTAATCCAACCGAGGCAAAGGGGAGCTTAAAATGTTATTTTATTTTGTGATTTATTTTTTTAGGTTAATATTCTGATGGAAAACAGATGTCACAATGTCTGGTCATGTTCTCCATCTTCTGTGCATCACTGATGGAGACACAGCTCATGTGAAGGTGTTCCAGACGTTAAAGACACTTCAGATATTCAGCCCTCAGGAGAGTGAGTGTGAATGGTATGTACTAATCCACAGTCACTTTGAATCCCTGCACCCACTTAGTGCATCATCTTCATTTCCTCATTTATTCAGGGTCACAACCGCCCCATTCCCCACCAACTGCAGATGAAACATGGTCTCATTTACACTGAGGGAAAAGGTGGAACATTTTGGATTTCCATTGAAACACAGTAAAATAACTTTAAGGGAAACCATCATTTGCAAGTTATGCAAGGTGTCGTTAGAACTGCTGAACAACCAGTAACCTGAGCACACACTTACATTCAACGCAATACTTTGGGTACGCAGAACTGTTAGCAGAGGATGACAAGCCCTGGTTAAAGCAGACAAAAATAACCTTGCAAATGTTACATAACAGATCTGGTTGGAGTGCCTTCTAGTGGATGTGGGATGTAATAGGCGTATAGAACAAGCTTACTTTTTTTTTTAATTTAACATAAGAAGCATTAGAAATATCTGAATCTGACTCGAGGGGAGGACTGACAGCCCTACTGTGCAGTGGGTAACAAAGGTCAGTACCACAAGACTGTTAAAGGGAATTAAATGCATGCTATTTGTTCATAATGTGTTTGGATTTGTTTCAGACAAATGTCACCAAGAACTGTCTTCTGTCCTCTGTCTTCGACTGTGACACACGAGAGGCTTTAAGTGCAGGACCAAATGTCTCCCTGTACAGAAAACTTTTTATGAAACACATTAATACTTCTTATCTGTACTTAAGTGATCATTACTGGTGAGTCACACCATCGTCTGCTTCCTTCATAAACCTTGTCTCCTAAAGAGCCGCAGGACAATTACACAGTGGCGAGAAGACAATAAAAGATGTGATGATGGAGGAAGGAGGTGAAATTCCTTCCTTCACATAATAACGTTTGGTTCAGACTCAGGAGCCAAACATAATCATGTGCTGCGTTCGGCAGGAACGTTCAGACTGCAGTCTTTCTGCATGAAGACCCTGGAGAAAATCTCTGATTCAACCATGATCGTACACAGCTGTTATAAATTCTCTGCCGCCTTCGTTGAAGTTCAAATGTGTTATTTTGTCACTTCATGGTTAAAAGTCCCTTTGCTGATTAACTCAGTGACACAAACTGGCCACAGGAGGCAGCGGTGGACCAGCAGCTTCTGTGGCTCTGTGAGCTAAAATGCCTGATTTTCTCCTTGGTACAAGTAAGCATGTCGTTGTAGTATGAATAACTGCCTCTGTTCAGGCAATATTTGAAATAAAGAATGGTAATGAAAAATGACTACTGCAAGAACTCAACATGGACCAAAACATCCATCCATCCATTTTCATCCGCCTATCTGTTACCAGGTTGCGGGGGCAGCAGTCTCCACGACCGCCACCCAAAACACACTGCACCGTACCAGCCCCCCCTGAACCTTCCTGTGGGTGGTGAGTCCACTGGAAGGTACCAACCGCCCTAACCTGGATTCACTCTAACCCAGGAGGTGAACCCTGGGGTTCCACACCAATGACAGAGACACTGGCTCTGGGCCAAAGGGCCACTGGACAATAACAGTACCAATAAAACTCCAGGTATTTGTCACAGGAACATTCAATACAAAGGAGCATTTGGACGGATGATGTTGTTGTTCTGTTGTTGTTTTATTTGATGTCTTCTTCTAACTGATGATTGTGGTACTCATCTCAGAGTTCCTCCAAAATGTGCCAAATCACACAAGGAATGAACACAACGGACAGACAAAAGGCCCAGTATTTAGTGGATATGTACTTAGCGTTAAGCACAAACAAGGCTCTGGTCAGTTATATGTAGTACATACATCATGTTTACACTACAAAATATAGCACTAGAAACCAGAGGGGTACCTTGGAACAGGCGTGCTTCCACCACACGATCTAGAAATAAGTGGGAAAGTACCAGGAACTATGTATGTGCATATGCAGTAGATGGAACAGCGACTATGTGGAAGAATCAGGCTTTTACCTCAACAGATGAACCACTGGTGGGACTGACTTGATGGAACCATGAGGGACAGAGGGGGGCAGGGAGACATAGACTGAAGACATTGGGAACTCACACACACTGTACCAGGCAGACACTGTAAGACGTTTAGCATCTTAGAACATTGTCTAGTACCATATATTAAAAATGTGGCTGAAATATACAGAGAGAGATTTAATTAATTACGTCCTTTGTCAAGTGTCTAAAATTTGACTTGTGAAGTCCTTCTCTCCACATCCGCAAAAAATCTGAAGCATCACTTCTGTCTTTTATGAAATGAGCCTCTCACAGATAATTGATTTTTTTGTTGTTGTCAGGAACTGTGACTCACACCATTGTATAACATGTTCTGGTCTCTATGAACAGCTGTTAGTTTGAATCTGTCTTCCTGTTCCTTTGTCCTGACTCTGCTCTTCATCAGAGAACAGTCAAACCCACAGCGAGTGGACGAGTGCAGAGACAGTGGGAGGACGTGGACATTGTTCTCTCAAAGTGCTGTTTGTCACTCTGTCAATGAGTCACAACATCAACGTGCTCACTTAAGGGTTTAAACAGTGAAAATATAGAAATGTTGGGGGCGGGGGGGCTTGGTAATAAATAAACTGAATATTCCAGTTAAACTTATATTGATGTGTGAAGACAATAAGTAGGATTATTCTGTTGTGTTAAACCGTACTACAGAAGGTACTACACTATGAATATAGTTGTTGTAATATGGAATCTGAGCAGTAACCTTTGATGGCACACAATAAAATAAGTTTACAGTTTTCTTGCTAAATGTTGTAGCTTATAACATTAACATGAAACAACAAAGTAAATAATTATCTCTGTGCCAATCATTCAAATGAATTTAACCCCAAATTGTAATTAAATTACCTTTGATATTGTAAGCAAACATTAATTAACTACATACCTACATTAAGTATATATATATGTAGATCGTCAGCAGCTCTGTATTTCCCTTATTTTTCTTGTTTATTGTATCACTGGTTAATGAGGTGAGGAGAAAATGAGCTGCAGATTCCCTGTAAGCCCCAGAATCACATTAGATCAAATCAAGAAATGGTAGGTTGAGGATGACATCATCTCTTGTTGCAACAGATGACAGATTTTAACAAGACTTCACACTGATGTCTTTTTCCTTAATCGCACAGAACCTGCTCATGTGTCCATGTCTCCAGCTATGATTCTGTAAAAACATTTACCCGTATTTTTAACAACTAAATGTAAAAAAAGAAAGAAAAATAGCTGTGAGCTGACAGAGTCATGCTGACCTGCGATGTGAATGAATCACAGTGATTTGATCTGTCATCAAAAATTACTAAAAAAAACAAACATTTCTGTCTCTTCAATAATAATCATAATAATAATGAGAATAATCACTTTTATTAAATTATTTTCATTATATATACGGATGGTGAGATTCAAACTTGACATCCTCAGCTAACACGCCTGATATTCGATTACACCACGGGATATTTAAAAAAATTGAGAGATGAGAGAAAACAAGGCATCAGACTGTAAATGGTTTAAGTGTCATAGTCAGTAAAATGCCTTGTTTTGGCTCAGCTTTGGCTCATGTCTTGTTCAAAAACAGAATAATTAGTGGCTTCAGAAGATTCACCAACCTCTCTGTGTTGGTATAGAATTATTCTCCTGTGGTGCCAATAAAACCACCTAAAAACCTTTTTTGTATGACATTAAAATAACAGAGATGTTCTTATGATAGGATGGATTCTCCTCCTGCTCCTGCCACTTGTCTGACACTGGCATTTAACTGTCGCCTCTTTCTGACCTCAGGTTCTTGGCTGACTATATTGTAGCCTTTAAATAAAAGTTTAACAGAATTTTGGCATGAGGAAACAGGGAACATGAAAGGACAGTTAATCTGTTCTCGTTCACGTAAAATGTATTTGTTTCGTGTCGTTTATTGAAAATATTGATAAATATATTATTGATAATATATTTAATTGTTTTATATAATTTATCATAACGTCGATGGATTAGAATTTGAATATTTTTGTCATTTTGCTCTATTTCGGTATTTTTAAAAGACAGAAACGCAAACAGGAAGCAAACCGGAAGCATGCGTCAGTGACGTCGGCAAAGGAAAACAAAAACAAACCTCCTAGTTCCGTTGCCATCGATGTTGTCTGTTGTTTTAGTTAGTCGGTTGTTTCAATTGTTTCGTCTTTCTGACTCTAGAAACCGTGTCCAGTGACGTACCGGCGGGTGTTTATAGTCGCATTTTTATTGACGTCACAAACAGACGTTTGAAACCTGTTAGGCTCTGATGCTAACCCTGTTAGCAATCAGAGCTAAAACTGTTGCTCAACTCTCGCCGTGTTGTCCTACGCTGCATCTTATTTCTCTCGGTTGTTTTTGTTGCGTTGACATTTGCTGAGTAACTGCCGTCTGCTTGTCCACCATGACTCAGCAGAGAGGAGTCAACAGCCTGATGTTCAACCAGGACCAGAGTAAGAACACAAACCTCGACTAACTTGGTATTACCAGGAACTATGTGACAAGAACAAGTACCACTGGCTGTTACTAGGGCTAGTAAAACAATCTTCGTGTGTTTTCACTACAGTAACTTCAAAAAGTACTACGATATGAGTGATTATTTATAAACATATAAACAAAACCGTATAATACATGTCATTCAACCCCATTTATTAGTACTAGGTCCTAGTACTAGTTTAGTTTAATAACCTTGTGCATTTTCATCAAACGTTAGAACCAGGTGTTTTCCACCACTGGTATCTTAGTCACAACTGTGGTTTTTGCAATGATGTTATCTTTTTTTGTTGAGATGGGGGAAAGTACAAAGAACTGTGTGTATTTACAAAAGTAACAAGTATAAAACTAATATGAGGAATCGTTCTCTTACCGGGAACACAGAAGGAACAGTACCAAGAATGATGTAGTCTCTAGTATGGACCAGGAGCTATCGATAGTAAAAGGAACTAAATGTGTAAACCTGGAAGTTATCTCAATACACAAGATTACTAGTTCCCTCGTTTAAAGGGCAAACAAATTAGGATTTCCACTCCCTGTTCCCGTTCCAATACTGTCTCCTGTGGTCAGTTTGTGTCATTGCAGTAAATCTGAACAAAGGATTGAATGAACTGTAAACAGGTAACAACTTGGCGAGGGAGGCAGCAGTGCATCAACAACACATTTTCTTTATTGACTTTTGTTTGGTGAAGGTTTCTAAAAAGCGTTTTCAACCTGATGGTTGTAGACAGAAGAAGCTGCAGAATAAAGCAACAAAGATCGACAATCACCTTCAGATGATTAAACAGCCCTGTTTGTACTCCAGTGCTTAGTATTATGCCCCGTGTCCTTGTACTTGGTGTTGTTCAGAAACATTCAGTTCAGTGTCTTTGTGTCTTTATCACAAGGCTGCTTCTGCTGCGCGATGGAGACCGGAGTCAGGATTTATAATGTAGAGCCTTTGATGGAGAAAGGACACCTGGGTAAGGAGTGTTCTGAAACACATTTTCTGTTCTATACATAACCTTGGATACTAAAGCAGATGTGTGTACATGCGTGTGCGTTCAGACCATGAGCAGGTCGGCAGTGTTGCTCTGTGCTCCATGCTGCATCGATCCAACCTGTTGGCCCTTGTTGGAGGAGGAGTGAATCCTAAATTCTCCGAAATTTCTGGTGAGAACATATTTAATATGAGACCATGAGGCAGAACTCTGGTTTATCTCTGGTGTCCAACATCTGCAGCCTGAGAACGTCATGGTTACTAGGATCATAAATTAGCCACAACGAGAGCACAAATGTTATTATTTAAATCTTGTTCATCTCTAGTCCTGATCTGGGACGACGCCCGTGAGTCCAGGGATCCCAAAGACAAACTGGTTCTGGAGTTTACCTTCACTAAACCCGTCCTGAATGTTTGCATGAGACATGACAAGTGAGTTCAGAGTTTCCATGTGCTTTGGTTGGACACTGCCTTTAAGTGTTGTGTTTACAACTGTCTTTTCTTTTTCTTTTTTTTTGTGGATTCTGTTCCAGGATCATCATTGTGCTGAAGAACAGAATCTACGTGTACAGTTTTCCAGACAACCCAGTCAAACTGTTTGAGTTTGACACCAGAGACAATCCCAAAGGTCATGACCTTTTCTTGTTTGTTTAGATTTTGAGGTGATCTTCCTTTTCTCTCTAAACAGGAGATAAATCTACTGAAATCCTTAGGTTTTTAATGTCACTATCAGGTTACTGTGTTCAAAACAAAAACAATCGGCCTCAGAAACAGCAGTGACTGAACAGTCAGTCATTCCACCATAGTTATTACTCTGCTCTGTTTGCGGTGTCTGGATGAGCTGTAATTCCAGTTTCAGGGACACAGAGAGTAATGACGTGATGGTGGTTTGTCTGTTGCAGGACTGTGTGATTTATGTCCCAGCCTGGAGAAGCAGCTGCTGGTCTTTCCTGGACATAAATGTGGAAGCCTGCAGCTGGTGGTAAGTCACTCACTCAAACAATTTTGAGTGATTTTTTTTGTTTTATAAAACCTCTAAAAAGAGAACTAATATTCTGTGAAATTGACTTTATGTCAATTTACTATCTGCAACTAAGTAGATGAACTGCAAAAATATGGAAATGTATCTCAAAACATCCCATTTACATTTCCTATAATTATAATAACCCTCCCTTCACTGAGTAGCTCCACCCAGACTATCACTACCTGTGTTACTCGTATGTAACTACCAGACCATAAACGTGCAACCCAAAAGCTAAGCTCAGCTGCAGTGATATTGTGTAAACAACACTTGGGGAGAAAGTCAGTGAGGTCACTGAGCTGTGGTTGGTCTACGTACTGTAGTCATGTTGAAGTTTGTTTTTTTTATCTATTACTGCACTTAGATTTAATTTAAATGTTGAAGAATGACAGAAATTTGTAAACGAGAAGCAGAACATGTGCCTTTTAAAACATCAGAAGTCTTCTTCTGTGACCAGGACTTGTCCAACACCAAACCTGGAACCTCTTCAGCTCCTTTCACTATCAACGCCCACCAGAGTGAAATCGCCTGCGTGGCTCTGAATCAGCCAGGCAGTGTGGCTGCATCTGCCTCACGTAAAGGAACCCTCATCCGTCTGTTTGACACCACCACCAGAGACAAACTGGTGGAGCTGCGCAGAGGAACTGATCCAGCCACACTCTACTGGTACGACCACGGAAGAGACCGTGTCAAAGGTCAGTGTCTACAAAAGAAAAAAACAAAGTCTTCACTTCCTGCTTTGTTCTTTCATCAGCATCAACTTCAGCCACGACTCCTCCTTCCTCTGTGCCTCCAGTGATAAAGGAACAGTTCACATCTTTGCCCTTAAAGACACCAAACTGAACCGGCGCTCTGCGTAAGACCAGTTACTCGTCATCGTCCCATCTTAAATAACCTCCAACTCCTCTGGATAAACATTTCTCTTCTTTTCCTTCCTCATCCTGATTCAGCTTAGCTCGTGTCGGGAAGGTGGGTCCAGTGATTGGTCAGTACGTAGACAGCCAGTGGTCATTGGCCAGTTTTACTGTACCGGCAGAGTGTGCCTGCATCTGTGCTTTTGGGAAGAACACTTCGAAGAACGTCAACTCTGTGATCGGTAAGAAGAACATTTTGACTTTTTGTTACCACCATCTAGGGCTGGGCGATATCTCCACATTTTAATATATATCAATATATTTCTAAATGAGATATAACATGGGACGAAATCAATAGTTTATATTTTGCATTAAAATGACAATACTGTACATGAGCCTATTTATCCTCTCCCTGTGTCCCTTTACACACAAGGCCTTTTGACTCTGCCTCCCTAACTTTCATGCACTCACTGTACAGTAAGGCAGTACAACAAATGGTACTTCAATTCAATTCTGAAAACACACACAGATTGAGTAAGACTATATTACAACAGTATTGAACAACTATGTGACTCATCAAGTACCTATGGGAACCACATTCCCCTGTATACCACAGGAGGGAGCCAATGCAGCAATGTGGAGCTTCTAAAAACAAAATGTTGTCATTCAAATCATCTGTGATTAAAATAATTTTCTCTGCAGCCATTTGTGTGGACGGAACCTTCCACAAGTATGTGTTCACTCCTGACGGCAACTGCAATAGAGAGGCCTTTGATGTTTATCTGGACATTTGTGACGACGACGACTTCTGAGGAAATTCACAGCTGCAGAGATCAGTTTAAAAACAACCACACACTCTGAGGAACCACAGAGATGAGTTTGTCTTCTGACAATGACAAGTCAAAATTGGACTGGGACAGAAATGTATTTACTCAGTATCTCCTAGGTCCATTGTCAATTTCATTCATTTCAGGATTTGGGATCATGTTGATAATAAATCTAGTGATTGTCATCAGATTGATAATGCAATTATTGATTTTGTCTGATCTGTTTTTATAATCGTCTGTATCTGAGCCATCAACATCTGACTGTAAGCTTGTTTTTTTATGATGCTTGTACATCATGAGTCTGTTGTCAGACTTAAAAGAACATGCATGACCTGTAGAGACCAACTTTATTATATAAATATATTGCATATTTGAAGTTTTGAAGACTTTTACTAGCAACAAACATGACATTGTGCCTTCTAATAGGCATAAAAAGTGATGAAAACTCAGACTCTGGATCTTAGTAGGTCTGTTGAAGATGGGATGGTTTGTGAAAAAAGAACACGGTTGTTGATTCTGCAGTGCCCCCTCCTGGTATGTAAGATAGCCCAACTTTGAAACTAGACTATTTAGGTTTGTAAGGGACAAGATCATATCTAAAAATAACTGAAAAACTTGCCATTTGAAAAACACCTACACACCATTTTTAAATATAATTTTTTTAATGTATAAAACACAACAGAACTCCTCATAAACTTATATCTGTGAAGGAAATGATTGAAGCTCCCTGCAAAGACCAATTGGTGATTCACTGCTGCCTCTGTTTTTTATCCTCACTTTAAATTTACCTTGTGACACAAACTGACCACAGGAGGGTTTTTTTTTGCCAGAAAACAAAACTTTAACTTTTTTTTAACATTTCAGTGATGTAAACAAATTAAGATTTAATGAAGAGAGTCTTTTGTTTATTGGCTTCTTCCTGTCCGTGCTGACAACAGCTGAGTTTTTATAGCAGCCAAACATCCTTGTCTCTGGGAGACTCTGGTTACGTTACCTCCCCCTTAGAATAGGCTGAACTGTCCCTTTACCTTGTTCAAGTGCTGCAACTCAGTCCTGCTCAATAGTCCAGTGTTGGATTTAAAGTCCAGGGTCACTTTCACAGAGAAACAGGAGGTCCAAACATCTCCATCGTCTCCACAACAAGTGACAGGTGATCCAGAAAGGAGTTCACAGACACTCTGAGGATTCGAGCCTCGTCTGCACTCCACCTACTGTGACACAGGTACATACAGGGTGATAAATTAAAAAAAAAAACCCTTTGTTGAGTGAAAAATAGTTCTGGATGCAGGTTTCTTACACAGACAGTATGTTTTCTGACAGCACCAGCTCTTTAGTTATTCCACCTTTCCTTGGTTCACGGTCTGGAGACAATGAGCGCAGAGCGATTTCTGCTTCACGAGATGTCGGGAACGGCACTTCCAAAAAACTGCAGGAGTGTTAAGGGACCATTTGACAGAGACCGGATCTAGTTTTATGAAACTAGAAACCTAAAATAAAGTTTTTAAAGTTACTTTCTTTAAATACTTATTTTCTATAACACAATTTTTACCCTGACTAAACCCTGACTTTTTTACAGGGAAAACTTCAGTTTCTATTTAGAAGTGACACTTCTCTTTCATATAAAGCAAATCTACCATATTTTCCTTCTATCTATTCTATAATTTTCCAAACTGCAGAAAATAAGGTGGAAATCCAGTTCTTTTACCCAATTGTTTTGTGGATTTCTTTTGTACAATATCAATACACAACAATATGGGACCTAGTTACTGTCTACTGCTGCCGTTAATAAAGAAGTAAAATTAAAATATCGTTTACGGGAATAATTCGGCATTTACATTTCGGTAATCTCGGTGCTTGCATTTCTTATATTAAGCTGTGACTGATATACAATGCACACAACAGTTTATTTTCGTATTTTTCTAATATAGTCACTGTAAATGTAAATCGTGTTGTTAAACACAGCTACACATTTCCCTCGTGGAATTCTAACACCATAGCGAGTACACCGAGAAAACATTATCGGTGTTTGGTATTATAAATAAAGTATTTAAAAAATATTCCTGCATTGGTCTCTTTGGAAAAGGATACAACTCAAATTTCCCTGTTTCAGAGTTTGTTTCTACAACTGACGTTGCCATCGTGGTTGTTGTTGAAGCGAGCGGACAGGAAGTGATTCTTCTTCTTTCTCCGAAGAGCAATGAAGTTGAATTGGTGGCTTCTTGCTGCCACTACGCGGTCAACTGGGATCTCCACACATAGCCTTCATAGATAATTATACTGTATTTACTCGACTTGAAACACATTATTTTATTTAAAAAAATAATAATATTTTTCATCTTTCCTATTTAAACTTTTTAATCTAAAACATTCTGTCGTTCTTCGTTCCTCTTAAAGCAAGTTAGTAAGTTCTTTTAATTTAAGATTAAGGTATTTTAATGTCTTTTGATTTGTGTCGTTTTAAATCTAAAGTAACTAGAAGAACAAAAGAAATATAGAACAAAACTTAATCAAAATCGATTAAAGTTTTTTTTAGTATTATTTCAAACAAGAGCATATAATAAGGAAACTCATTCAAGGACACGATCTGCTGTCAGAAACCGACCAATCAGAGCTCAGTTGGCTTTTCAACATAAAATCGATGTGTGACTTTTATTTTGTAGCCGCTGCTGTCAAAATCAGGTGTTCCTCCTCCTCCTCCTGTTCTCCTGAATCTTTGTCTTTTTCTGATTATTCAGACTGACAACAGGTTCACACGTCAGTGCGGGGATCTATTTTGATAAGTGACTTGTTAAAACGGCTCGTGTCTGAGAATCTTATCTTTTCTACAGATGACAGTGAAAACCAGCTGGATTTTCTTCATCTCCTGTTTCTTCATCATTTCTCTCCACTTTCTACAGCTGTGATTTTCTTTTAATCACAAGTTAGCAAGTAACAAGTAAGTACACAACGAGTCTCTGTGTCTGATCTTTGTGTCTAACTTAGATAAAACACCGTTGAAGACTAAGATTTGATGATCATTTGTATCAAATATGAAAAAAGACAAAAAGTGATTTAAATGTATAATTGTGTAATTGTGGTCTCAGTCGTTTCATTATCTGAGCTCAGAGTGAGTCACTAACTTTATTTATGTGGAACACAATTTTAACACTGTGAAGGCACTTCACCCTCGATCCATAAACATGCAGGATTAGTATAACTGGACACTGTGATTGACCATAGGTTTGTGTGGCTGGAGAACTGTCTCCTCCATCACCCGATGAAGAGAAGAATGAAATGAAATGATGCATGAACGGAAAAACAATACAATGCTGTTAACCAAAGTGTGGGATGTGGCCCTACTACAGACATAACATGACGTTTTCTGACAATATTAATCTAAATATGCAGTGTATTTTTTTGTTGTTGTTTGGACCGATGTTTTGACAGCACTAAGAGTTTTGTGTGTGGACAGGACTTTAAAAACCCTGTGTTTGTGTGGATTCAGGGGATAAAATATAACAAACATGGATCAAGAAACAAGGATTCAAGAAAACTATGAATATAGAAAGTGTAGGAAAACAAGCAGTGGCCCTGAAACGATCACACCACTAACAGGAGGACCTTCTTTGGTCTGAAGTATCACTGGTCTCTTTATTATTTGTTTAGTGTCAAACCATGACCTCAGTCTTTGCAGCTTTTGAATAATGACTTGTTAAAACAGATGTATGAAGACGTTTACCAAACATGAACCTCTTTGAATGTTTGATTTACCTTTGAAAAGTTACATCATTAGATACAACTCACATTTTATTTCCTCCAGAGTCACAACATTGTCTTTATTCACAGGCCAGCTGCAGATGCACAGGCACATGGCTAAAAGTGGCAGCACTCTACGAGACCTGCAGCTGGCGCTGCAGCTGAAGATCGAGGAGCTAAGACAGAGGGACGCTCTGATCGATGAGCTGGAGCTGGAGTTGGACACCAAGGATGATCTGATCCGACAGCTGCAACTGGACCTGGACCAACACCGCAACACCTCCCTGAAAGCTGCCAGCTCTGCAGAGACAACCACAGGTGTGTTAGCACAGTTAGCTTCTCAGCAGACAAATACACTGAGTGACTCGTGGTCAAAGCCTGTCAAACTCCTTCTGGCTGAATTCCCCTTCCCTCTGGATGTTCCCAGAAGCAGCGGTGATTTTGGCCCCTGGAGCTGACGAGCCTCAGAGGACTAAACGACAGGCGATCTCAGCCGAGCCCTCAGCTCTGGACCCGTCACAGCTGACGGACGTGACACTCACCAGCTACTGCAAGTCCAAAGAGTGAGTGTCTGAGCAAATAAGTGACCAGGAACATTTACGTTCACTCTCACTGACCTCTCCTGTGTCTATCTGCAGATCCAGTGAGCTGATCCAGAGGGCGCTGATGGACAATGACTTCATGAAACACCTGGAACACGGACAGGTAAGGATCAGGATCAGTGCAGGACTCTGTTGAACTTGGCCTGGTTCTGGTGTCAGTCAGACTGTCGTTGACCTCATGTGGGCAGATCCTCACCATCATGGACTGTATGCGTCCCACCAGCTTAGAGAAAGGCTGCTGTGTGATCCAGGAAGGAGACGATGGCTCCACGGTCTACGTCATGGAGGGTGAGACACCTCATCTAATTAATATAGTCCCCAAACCTACTGTGAGGGTTCAAACCCCCAACCCTTAAGAGATTAAACTGAGGTGATTGTTGATTATCCTCGGGGGGAAGTGTTTCTGCTAATATCCCTTTATGTTTGTGTGTGTGTTGACAGAGGGGATGGTGGAGGTGACCAAACAAGACAAGAAACTCTGCACCATTGGTCCAGAAAAAGTGTTTGGAGAACTGGCCATCCTGTACAACTGCACCCGCACAGCGTCAGTCACAGGTGAGGCTGTGAAGACCAACAGCTGTAACCATGGAGACCAGTTGACTGGAGGTCAACACTGTACAGAGAACAACCCAGAGCTTCTCGCCAATCAGAATAGATTTGAATTGCCTTCCAGTTCCTGTTGTAGTCACATGAACGATGGTCAGCCCTGTGCTACGTCCACTTATTAACCCCTACACAGAGACCTTGGTTTAATAGCAGGTCACAGCCAACGTTTACAGGTGCATACCGCCACCTACTGTACTAGAGTGTGTAGTCCCATGGTATGACCACTGGCTTTTTGCGCTAACGCAGCCTAGTCCTTATGCCTTGATGCACATGCATTAGTATTGATTTTAAATCGATTCACGGTGCAGATAGTTTGAGTTGTGTCTCCTGCTGCAGCAGCTGTGTAGAGGGTTATTCAGAAAGTGAGGCTGTGGCCCTGACAGACCCATTGAAGGTCTTGTCAGCGCAGTAGGAAATAAAATAATTCAGGTCAAAGAAATGTTGGAATGATGCACGGCTGTTAGTCATCCTCTGATAAATGGAAAGTGTGATGAAGGTCGTCTTCAGGGCTCTCTCTCTTTTGATTCAATAATACAGAGTCTCCCACACACAACGAAGAAATACTCGCGTAAACACACACACACACTCATCTGATGCTGAAGGCTGTTTTTTAAAAGCATTTTCAAGTGTTTTGTATGAATCCACAGGAGGAATAAAAGCAGAGCTGTGAGCCACGCTGTTACATGGGCTTCTGTTGGATGGAAATGTTATATTGACCTGCCAACTTGACCTGAAGTAGACTTCATGTTCACAAATGGAACTGTGACGTGGAACATCACAGAAAAGCAAACTGGAAAAATACACTTTTCACACCAGTTTAGTTCCACTGTTTCGGCCTTTTTACCAGAAAAACACTGTTGTCTTCTTTTACTGATGAGCTGGAAGACTCTGACAGGACCTCATACAAGCTTCTCCAAAACATCCCAAACCTCGCTCTAATTATGGAAATAAACTCCCTTAGAACAACAGTTGACAGACAATAATATCTTTTTTCATAATATATGTTTTTTGTCCTCTTCTTCGTTTGTCTGTCTCCAGCCCTGACGGACATCAAGCTGTGGGCCATCGACCGACAGGACTTCCAGACCATCATGATGCGGACAGGGCTCATTAAACATTCCCAGTACACAGAGTTCCTGCGCAGGTACAGATCATCGCTAACCCCACCATGTCAGCTAAAACATGCAGCTAACTCCTGTCTCCCACCTCCTCCAGTGTCCCCTCTTTCTCATCCCTCCCTGAGGACATTCTCAGTAAACTGGCTGATGTTCTGGAGGAGGTACTGTTTCCAACCTCTGGTGCACAGACTCACTTTTCACTATCACTTCCTGACATCTGTGCTCCCTGCAGTGACGGTGAGCACGAATGTCTGCATTGACTGATCTGAAGTTACAGACGTGTCTCTGTGCTCAGACTCATTACAGCGACGGTGATTACATTATCCGCCAGGGAGCCACTGGAGACACATTCTTCATCATCAGTAAAGGACAGGTAAGGAAAAAGGATGAGATAGAGGAGGAGAAGATTCATGAGGAGGTGGTAACAATGAGGAGAGTCGGAGGAGAGTTTCTCAGAGGTTCCAGAAATCAGAGCAGTTTTTCATCTATTTCTGTCAAATTCAATTACGTCAGTTATATAAAAAATTAACATCCACCAACCAAAGAAATATGTGAAAAAAAATAAACCAGCAGAGTTAAACCCATCTGCTGAGTGCATCGACTCTATGGAGAGAATCACTGGTTAAAACCCTGGCACTAACGTTAACCATTTTTAGTGATTTTTCTCCCCGATCATTTGACAGAACCAGAGGCCGAGGCTCCGCCTCTTTTATTTTTAGCTTTGAGCTGTGAAGGTTGTGACGACTGTGTTGTGCACAGGTGAAAGTGTCGCAGCAGAACTCCGATGGTGAGGAGATGCCGAATGAAAAGAGTCTTTCCAAAGGAGACTGGTTTGGAGAGCAGGCTCTGAAAGGGTGAGAATCACATGGGTTCATCTAAGACTTTCTGTAAAAAAAAAAAGAAAAAGAAGTGTCAAAAATGTGATTGGTTCTTACAACATTGACTTCACCCTTAAAGCTCAGAAACATTAACTTTAAGACAAACTGAAGTCAAGACAATAAACTTTAAATAACGAGTCAAATGGCCATAACCAAAAGATGAATGAAAGTTTGCCCAGAAATAACCATAAATGAGAATATATAATCAGACATTTAGGTGAGAAACAACAAAGATAAGATGTTTGTCTTTGCTGTGCAGTGAGGACGTTCGAACGGCCAGTGTGACCGCCGTGGGAGACGTCACCTGTCTGGTCATTGACCGAGAGTGAGTTCTTCTACGTCAGGATTTGTTTTACACAGCAGCCCATAATGTGGACCTCAGATGGTCAGTGATTGGTCGGTTCGTCCCTCAGGTCTTTCAAACAGCTGATTGGTGGACTGGATGACACTCCAAGCCAACAGAAAGACATGGACGAGGTCAATGCCAAGTGAGTGGAGGTCACCTCTCCTTGAGAACGCCTGCTGGGTTCTAGACGATTAACTTCAATTCAATTTTAGACACTAATATATACATATATATAGACATTATGTGTGTGTATATATATGTGTGTGTTTATATACACATATACATAATATACATATACATGCTTGTGTGTACATATATATAGTCCACTATACATAAATATATATTGTAAATACACTTCCTTCTCAACTTGATAGTTCCTGACATTCCACGATGATCTGAACCCATGTCAAACTTGGACATGTCTTTTCCATTTGTCCCCTCTTGTCCTCCAGACTACAGGTAGAGGCGGATTTCTTCTCCAGTGTCACACTGAAGGACTTTAATATCATCTGCACTCTGGGAGTGGGAGGCTTCAGCCGAGTGGCGCTGGTGAGGTCTACCGTGAAGTGAGGAAGACGGCTGATTTCCAGGTGTCTGTTTGCTGGACACTGACGGTTTCTGTGTGTGTGTGTGTGTGTGTGTGTGCGTGCGTGCGTTCAGGTGCATTTGAAGAATGATCACAGTCGGTCGTTCGCCCTCAAAGTGTTGAAGAAGCGTTACATCCTGGACAGCAGCCAGCAGGGTCACATCCTGTCAGAGAGACGCATCATGGTGGAGGCTCACAGTCCCTTCATCATCAGGTCAGCTTTGGCCTTTCTGGGAGGGGGGTTGTTGTCCAAGTGGAGACACCAGAATCACTTCTGTCAGACTCACAGTGAGGTCTCCCTGTGATCCAGACTGCGGTCATGTTGTGGACTGTCTTCTGTCTCTCTTCTGTTGGTGCAGGTTGTACAGGACGTTCAAAGACACCAAGTACCTCTACATGCTGCTGGAGGTCTGTCTGGGTGGAGAGCTGTGGTCGCTGCTCAGGGACAGGTACGATCCACTAGATATTACCCATAATTCCATGGTGTTGCAAGTCTGCAGTAGGCTCCCGCAGTTGGTGACAGCCATCGTGGTCATTTGGCATGATATACTGTACAGTAGCTGCTGCTAGTTGTTAGCACTGCGCTAATTTAACAAATCTGCCCAAGCATTTAGTAGTGGTCCAACAGTCTGGTACGGATGAAGAAAATGGAGGCGTCCATAGAGGGAAGACATTGAGCTGGGTTATTATCAGATGTGTTTGAGACACTGCCACTGATAGACAGAGAGACCAGTATGTGGACGAAAGTCCACATTGGGGAACATGTCCCCTACACGTCTTCTCTCTCTGGTTCTTATGTCGGACTTTTATTGTCGGAGGTTTTAGGAACTAACTCTCCAGATATCAGTCCTAGAGCTGAAGTTCTGTGACAGGGTCCTCGTCCCCAGGTCTTTATGGTTTGCAGACAGACATAAAAGAGAAACTATTTAAATACATCTGTACCATCTACAGGGGTTCCTTTGATGACAGCACCACCCGTTTTTACACGGGCTGCGTGATCGAAGCTCTGGCCTTTCTGCACTCCAGAGGAATCATCTACAGAGACCTCAAACCGGAGAACATCATACTGGACCACAGAGGATACGCCAAACTGGTCTGGACATTCTGGTTTTGGTTCCTGTCCCGTTGAGAATGAGAACAGTGATTTTCATTTGCTGAGACCACTATGTCCTTCATACAGGTGGACTTTGGTTTTGCCAAGAAGGTAGGTCTGGGAAAGAAGACGTGGACATTTTGTGGGACTCCTGAATACGTGGCTCCAGAGATCATCCTGAACAAAGGTCACGACAGCTCGGCTGACTGCTGGTCTCTGGGGATCCTGGTGTTTGAGCTGCTCAGTGGCAGGTAGATACTTCCCCTCACCGTCATGTCATTAGAAAGATTTCTGCTGAACTCAACAAAACCTTTCCACCCTGCAGTCCTCCATTTTCAGGCTCTGATCCCATGAAGACCTACAACATCATACTGAGAGGCATCGATATGATCGAGTTCCCAAAGAAGATCACCAAGAGCGCCGCCAACCTTATCAAACGCCTCTGCAGGTGTTTTATCATTAATATTATTGTTATTATTATTTAGAAACTCAAACTCACACCTGCTGCTCTGTGGCTCAGTGCATTTGTGATGCTGATGTTTTCAGGGACAACCCCTCAGAGAGACTGGGGAACCAGAAGAATGGAGTGAAGGACATCCAAAAACACAAGTGAGACGGGACACAGATGTCTGTGCCTCAATGTCTCGCTGTCTGCTGTTGTCATGCCAACACCTTTCTTTGTGCTCCAGGTGGTTCGAGGGCTTCAACTGGGATGGACTTCGTCAAGGAACCATTGACTCTCCGTATATACCTGTGGTGGGTCAGAGTCCAGATCCATGGTTTAGAAGAGTCTTATTCCAATACAAAACATTTTATATTTATAATCCACAAAGAGTTTTTTATTCTCTGCTATCTCATCATCATTGAGTGCAGATTTCTTTTTTTTCTTTTTTCTTTTTTTTTTTTTTTTTTTTTTGGGGCGGTGGGGGGGGGGTAGTTCATTGGATCATCATTGGATCATTGGATTTTTTCCACGTTTTGGTAGACGGTAAAACTTTTCTTAAGAAAAACAACAAGAGTTCAACTAAACAAATCCAAACAGAATATTTCGTCTTCATCCAGAGTTACATAACAAACACACACATGAAGTCAATTTACATGAAGAACTAAAGTGCCTGGAGTTACTAAGACCTTCAGGAGATAACTATGACAAAACATTCACACACATCTCCTCCTGTCAGAGGACCAAGATTATATCTGCTGCTGCTGCTGCTGTGGTTCATTGGAGGTTACATTAATCAACCACCACCAGCAGCAGCAGCAGCAGCAGCAGCAGCAGCAGCAGCTGTGTTAATCCTCCACACCTTCCTGTAAATCCACTCACACACCAAACTCCAAGGAAACTCAATTATTTTACATCCGCAAATAAATCCCATGAAGCAGCTGTCAAATCTGCAAATGTGTGATTATATGACTTCATAGGTTTGAATCCTTATTGTTCAGATTAACCTCAGTGACACAAAGTGACCACAGGAGGCAGCAGTGGACCAGCAGCTCTTAAATCCCTGTGAGCTAAATTCACACATTTTCTTTATGGACTTTGGTGTAGGAGAGTGAATGGTCCAATATCCCTGGTTTAAAGTTCAGACGATTAAATATTATTGGCAGGATGTGACACAGGATGGTTCACATCAGTCTTTGGGAAGTAGTTCATAACTGTGTGGTTACGTCTGCTCACTGTTACTGTTACCTTTTAAAAATCCATGCTGGTCCAACAGGTGAAAGGGCCACTGGACAACAGCAACTTTGACGAATTCCCCGAGGACACCGACGACCCACCTCCTGACGAGGACTCCGGCTGGGACCTGGAATTCTAACATCTGTCTGTTAGGAATGAAGGGTCTAAAGAGGAAGTGAAGCCATAACATAAAGGAGCGCCAACTTCTTGATCAGACCACATGGAGAACTGAAGCTGGGTGCTTTCACAAAGCCCTCAAAGACCAGAACCTCCAGATGAGAAGACTTGGATGTTAGGAAGGCTGAGCACAACGACAGGACGCAGAAACATCCCACACTCCAGTGACGACTCAGATACCAAAGACACGTGAACAAAATGAAGAGAAGAGAGAAAAGCTGATTATAGAACTGTGTGTGTGTGTTAGCTGATTAACAACGTTCAAAATAAAACAGGTATTTGTTTAAAGATTAAAGATCAAATTTGTCAGTTAATGAAAAGAAATAAATCCATTTGTCACTGGTAAAGTCAGTGTGTCCGCAGTAGGTGCTGCAGATGTTTATCAGCCAGCGTTGACCTCCGGGATAATGGGGTCACTGAGGTCGTGTGAGGTTCACTGACTCCTGTTCATGATGGAAACTCTGCTTCCTTCTCTAACGAATCTTTCCCACAATTTAACTGAGAACTGACGCTGAGATAAGACACACACGCACACACACCCATACACACACACACTCTTTTCCACATCCTCTTAAGTGTCAGAGTTTACGAAACAAACCCACAAATTAAAGAACTTAAAGAACAGAGTGGGATTATATAAAAGGGCATTAAAGTAATTCACATTGACGTACATTTTTTAAAAATAAATCGCAGAATAAATCTGTAGTTTTAACTTACACTGAAAGATGAATGTGGCCCAGTAAATACAGTTTGATTTACATGTTAATTATGGTGAATTTAGTGAAAAAATCTAAGAGATACATTTGTTTTCTGACATTATTACAGTTAATAAATCAACAGGATTAATTCATGTGTTATTGTCAGTGTAAATGTGTGACTAAATACTGTACTAGTAGTAAAACTAAATACTCTAATACTTTGTTTTTCTAACGTTTTTCTAATTTACTTAAACACAAATCTAAAAACCTCATAAAACTGTGGAACTGCATTCCTACAGAATGTTCTGGAACATTCACTTTCTAGTAAAATATATTTGTGTGACTACATTCCTCACGTTTGTCCCTGGGACTAATCAATCATTGATCATTGATCAGTGTTTTTTCTCCTCGACTGAACCGAATCACAAAAGGAAAAAAAAAACAGGAGACGTGACCGGAATCTGTTTCCTGCTGCTATTTTTAGACTGCCCAATTAAAAAAAAAAAAAAACACAGACGCACACACAGTATTTAACCTAATTTATCTTAATTTTGTAAAAAAAATATTTAAAGTTATTACTCTCCAAACATGACGGACCTTGGTAAATTACATTTTAAGAAATACCTTTATTTTGAAAGGGACTTCATGCCATTAAAGTTATGGTTTCACCAATAAGAAAATTAGAAAAAATATGTAACAAAAAAATGTAACCTGAAACTCAAACAGTAGTGTTAATTAAAGTAAAGCATATATATATATATATATATATATGCTTTACTTTAATAAAAATGCTCAAAAAAATGTAGAAAAGTTCTTATCAGTTCAGTTTCCTGTTGTTTGGAAAAGTCGTGTGGAAAGAAAAGTTAACTCAGCCATGAATAAAACATCAGCTCTGTGTGTGTGTGTGTGTGTGTGTGTGTGCGTGTGCGTCTGATTGGCCAGTGTCTGCTGCTCCTCTGTGTGTATAAATACCAGCAGAGGTTTGAGGCTCAGACACGGCACCAGAACCACAGAGACTCACTCAGAACCTCAGCCTCCTCTTCATCACCTCCATTATGCTTCCTCCAGGCTCCTCCTGTTTCCTCCTCCTCCTCGTGCTCCCCTCCATCCTCAGCTTCACCGTCCAGATGCTGCCGGAGGAGGCTGCTCCTCGCAGAGCTCGGTTCTCCTCCAACAGTCCAGGTGAGCAGAGTAGAACCTTCACCACCAGCTGTGAACAAAAGCTTGGATTTTTATTATTTTTGGGCTAATACTTTGTTACTTTTATTTTATTTACCCTTATTTTGTGTTAAGGTAGCTAATGCTACATTGAGGCTTTCTGAGCTAACTTCAGTCAATTTATTTACATTTTCAACTTCTACATTTTTATGACTGTTTTCAAATGAAATCTTTGTTTTAGATTATTTTGAGTTGTTTTCTTATGTTTACTATTTGTTTGTTTTTCTCTGTTCACTTGTTTCTGGCCAAACATTTGACATTTGACTATAAACGTTCTGGTTGAATAAAATACAATTTAACTTTCTTAGTATAATTCTAAACACATGTTAAATCTTCAGTGTTTTAAAAGTATTTACTTCAAATCTCTAACCATTTTGTGTGGGTTTTTTTTTTTTTTTACAGCGGACGTAGCCAGATGTTTAAAGAGTTCTGTGGGAGTTGGCTGTGGATTCTTCTCCTGTCTGGAGAACTCCACCTGTGACACTGACGGCATGCATGAAATCTGTGAACTCTTCCTGCACACAGCAGCTACCTTCAACACGGAGGTCTGTCTCTCTGTCCGTCTGTCCATTATCTATCTGTCTTCCTCTCTTCACCTGTCTCACTCTGTACCTCTGTCTCACATCTGTCTCCAGGGGAAGACTTTTGTGAAGAAGAGTCTCCAGTGCGTCTCTCAGGCGATCGCAGCCAAGGTCCAACACACCATCCGTCGCTGCAACATCTTCCAGAGGATGATCGCTGAGGTCTGGGAACCAATCACAAGTGTTCGTTCCCCCTACATCTGTTTTGGCTTCATTGTTTACAGTGTGTTCTTTAAAATGATTTTAACGACAGGTACAAGAGGAGTGTTACACCCGCTTTGACATCTGCACCGTGGCCCGCACCAACCCTGACGCTATTGGAGAGGTGGTGCAGATGCCAACCCACTTTCCCAACAGGTAACACACACACACACACACATAATCATGAGAAATCAAACACACAGTTCTCTGTCCTGTTGCTGGTTACTTGTACTACTTTCTGCAGAGCACATTACAAAAACAAATCACATATGGTACCTGGTTCTTGAGGAGCAAGAGTTAAGGTTCTGGTACTTTCCCTGGTCCTTGGTCCAAACCTGTTTCTTCTCCAACCTCTCTGTCTTCTTCTGTGCATTTGTCTGGTAGATATTACAGCACTCTGCTGCAGACCCTGCAGTCCTGTGATGACCAGACGGTGGCAGCAGTGAGGGCAGGTGTTGTGGCCCGGCTGGGCCCTGACATGGAGACCTTCCTGCAGCTGGTGCAGAACAAACCCTGCTCCTCTGGTTCTCCTGTCCCTGCCTCCGTCTACAACAACCCCGCCAGCTGGAGGAACATGCCCGTCTTCAACGTCCAGCCCAGCTTCATAGGACGAGACGACACCCACCTGTTCGCCCGCAGGTCTGTGGACGAGCAGATGCAGGACCAGGTCCAGACTGAGTCAGAGAAGTAGGGATTGGACCTGAACCTGACCCAAACACCTCAGATGATCAGAATGTATGGAGCTGTGATTTCCCACTGACGTAGATGACATTTAAAGTTTGACTTGTCTTCGGTCCATTTTTCAAACCAATACCAAAGAAGTGACAACTAGAACATCGAGGCCTGTTACAGTAAAACTAAGATTTGATATTTATTTTCTTAAAGAAGTTAATTTATGAAGCAGTTGTAATTTAATGTAGAGTGTGTGTGGAGCTCAGAGGTCCACGCTGGCCGTGGACCTGGGTCTGACTCCTGCGAGGAGACGTATTTTAGTCCTAAAGTTGTAACTTTAGATGAAGACACTGTTGATGTTTTATGGAAATAAATGATGAGATGAGGATTCGGTCTGCTTCCTGTGGTTTTTTTTGCTCCTCATTATACTGTACATCCAGATGTGTTCCTCATTATTTACAGCCTCTCTGACGTACAGTCAGATGTTGTTGTCCTCGTGTGAGGAGAGAGCCCATCTGTGATGTGATTGCACCATCTCTCAGGATGTTTTCTCCACAAAACTGACCAACTCCAGCAGAGGTAAACTCAAATCAGGTGGAACTAATCAGACGCAGGTGAAACACATGAGGGATGAGGTGAGGGCGGGGCTGAGCAGGTCAAAGACAGGAAGTCGAACACGAACTCTCAGAAGCAGAAATCACATGTCAACGGTTGTGGTTTTGTAATATTGCCACTAGATGGTGCACATACACAGATATCATCTGTTTCCGTCGCTCAAACGTTTCATAATGTCTGTCCATTTATGGGAATTTCTTCTTAATAAGAAATAATCAACGTGTTTTTACATGTGACCCGTTTAATTTGACTATAACATGTGTCACATTTCTATGGTTCCTGTAACACCGCAGCCCTGCCAGGACTGGGATTCAAACCAGCAATCCTCTGACTACCAGTCTGATCCTTTCACAGCGATCCCAGTGACCTGCGGCCTGGAGGTCACGATCTACTCTAATCTAATCTAATCTAATCTGTGTCCATTTATATTCAAACTGATTCAGTCCAATAATAAGATGTAGTGTTTCCTTTTTTAAATGTTAAATAGTTTTGTTGACAGACAGACTCAGAAACAGTCAGGTGTTTGTCATCAAACCTCTGCTGTGACTCTGTTGTTGTGTCCGGTGTGAAGTCCAGATCCTCTCACTCTGACATCTGTCCACAGCATCATTATGGCTGTTATGGACCATTAACCTCCATCAGGCAGGGTGACAAACATCAACACCTCCACCTCCTCCTCCTGTGACTGCTGCGTGTGTGTGTGTGTGTGTGTGCTCTGAGGTGTTAACAGCAATCACTTCCAGGAATGCTGTTAAAAAAAGCAGCTCCAGGAAAAGTCTCACTAATGTGTGACTCAGCAGAAAGACTGACAGGTGAACACGCACCGGAAACCAGGAGGTGCTGAATCTCCAGGAGCAAAAGGATAATTCAACCCTGGGGCCCCGGGCTGAGATGGAGCCCCGCCCCCTCCCCCTCACCTCCCACCACCCCCTCCTCCTGAGAACAACTGATCAAATCTACAGCAGGGACATTTGGTTTAAAAAAACACCTGAATGTGATTGTTGAGGTAACACTGACACAGAAACTGTTCTGACTCACTGCACTGTAAACACTAAGGCAACTAAGACAATGAGACCATGTAGAAGAAATGGACAGAAATGGACAGAAATTGACAGACAGACACAGAGACAGAGTGGACTCTCATTTTGAAAAATGTCCATAGAGAATTTGACATTTTTTGGTGAACTTCTACTTGCACAAGAGCCCAGGTGTCCCTGTGAGTCAAACTCAGTCATGTCCTCTACGGACCATGGACTGAGAGACTGACTTCTATTTCAAATGCAGTTTCTTGTTGATGACAGTTGTGAAATGTCGGAGCTGATGTTGATTCTGCTCAGTTCGTCTGTTGTTCGATTCTTTCCTTTGTCACTCAGTCAGGGCAACATTTTTACCATGTGTTAGTCCCTGGTGTGACCAGACTTCATGCAGCGATCTCACTCTGAATCAGTTCAGTGTCTCTGAAACTGAGTGGGAACATTTTTCAATGAGAGAAAAAAAAACCTTTCTGGAAATGATTTTACAGGACGACCTGTTTGAACGTCTCTGAGGACGGAATGAAATGTTGCTCTTGTAAAAACACAGGAAGAAGAAAACTGAGCCAAGTGTAGCAAAAATCAACACACGCGCGCGCACACACACACTGAGGTGTGTGTCTCCAACATATCTTCTGCTGCAGCTAAACCTTGAAACAGAAATAAAATACATTTATATGAGGAACAATTTAAGTATTAAAAGTGGTGCAATACGTGTGATAACAGTGATTTTATATAACAGTGTGTGGTTAGTGACAGGAAACAACTGTGTGCCATTCAAAGTTCACACCAATAACAACAATTACAACTTCTGTTTTTTTTAAGAAATTGATTTTAATACTGTTATTTCAGTTTTTACAAACATTCAAGGTTGAAACATATTTTCTGTGTAACTGCAGCTGAAGGATAAGTGCAAAAAGTTCAACAGTAACACTGACATCATCATTAGTGTGTGTGTGTTTTGCAGAGAGGCTATTAAACAAACCATGCATGCAGCAACAATCAACAAAATGAAACAAAAACTGGAGTTTAAACTGAAATTTAACAAAAAAATAATAATTTTAGGCAAAATTATTTTTTAGGAAAAAAATTGAAATGAGCTCTTGTGACACGACTCATTTGTTAAAACACACAGTTACATCTATAAATACACAATAATAATTTAAAGGTTTTACAAGGTAATGATTGACGTTGTCCACCAGGTGCTGGTCAGTCTCCTCATGTTTACGGTGTTATTCTAACTGAAAAATAAGGTTCCTTTACTCTCACCAAAGTCCATAGAGAAATCAGTGTTTTTAGCTTATGGGGACACAAGGAGCTGCTGGCCCACTGCTGCCTCCTGTGGTCAGTTTGTGTTACTGAGGTAAATCTGAACAACGTGATTAAAGGCTGACCATACAAAGCAATGAGCATGATTTCATTGACAAGGCGACAGAAAAGTAACGAGTGTTGTGGGCTGTGTTGAACAAGTGATTGATTTTTCGATGGGGTTTGGTTTAAGGGGTTATTTACAAACATCAGTTTCCTGTTGAAAACACTGAGAAGCAAAGAAAAGCACTGAACTGGTTATGAAAATACTAGACATATGTGAAATACTTGGTGAATATTTTCATTTCTTTTGTTACATTTTAACACATATTCTTTGATTTTATACATTGTTTCCTTAAAGGTCCAGTTTATTTTTTACATATATCACAAATCATTATTTACAGTATTTACACTGGGAACTTTACAACACTGAAGCACAGCTCTACAGCAGCGTGAAGAACAGGAAGAGTCTGGTTCTCACAGTTCTCACAGTCACTGCTCTCCACTCGAGTCTTTTCTCTCTGCGAGAGCCGAGCGTGTGTGCGTGAGCCGCTGCCTGAAGCTGGTCCAGGTCCAGGTGCAGCTCGGTCCAGATGTTTTTCACATCAGGCCACAGTGATAGACGACAGAAAAGTGGGCCGAACGACCCGGCTCCATCTGGGACTTGGTGCTGGTGCTGCTGTCAGCACAGCAGAGGAAACAGGAGGAAGGTGAAGCAGGATAGGGAAACCATCCCATGATGCTGGTCTATGTGGAGCTACAGGAATAACCTGAAGAGGAAGAGCCGATGGTGGTGTACTGGATCAGAGGAACAGCCAGGTCCAGGTACTCCTGGAGACACACAGGCAGGAGAACCAAGGTGATTGGTCAGAATGAGACCAAAATAGAAGCAATTACAGAAACCCTGTCATGGACAAGCTTTATGACACAGCCTTCTTTATGACACTTTATGAGAGCCAGTTGTATCTACTGTCGTCATGGCGATGGTGCAGATGACTCTGTCGTAAATACACACGGTAACGTTAAACCTGAGGCCTGCCCTGTGGTAACGTTAGCTACAACCTGTTTCAGGACAGTGTATGGAGAATGTCCATCACTTATAACTACAGGTAGATGAGCAAGACAGTCTGGAGTCTGGCTGACGGACAGGGCTTTTTCCTGAACCTACTTTTGAACTGAATGGCACATTTCTTTTACATTTCTACACTTATCATTATTTTGTGTTTTTGTCCAGAAAAGTGTTACTGCAACCTTTACTTTAAAGTGCTCATGCAAACAGACCTTTGTATTTGAGCTATATTTTATTTCCTAACCCAATGAGAGTCTGTAGAAAAACTGACAACAAATCAAAATGATAAGGGAGATCAATAATGGAATCGGAATCTGTGAGAACAGTTGTTGTTTTGTCCGTTGATGGCCACAAACATCTGATGATGTTCAGTTGGTCCAATTGTTTTTTATCACGAACGATAAAATTGATAATAAATTTGCTGAGAGGATGTTGGACTTTGTCGGACAATAACTCACCTGGTTGGCCATGAGAGACAAAGTCCGGTCTAAATCTTCCACCAGCTGCTGAAAAGTTGGTCTGCGAGACGAGACGGCGTGCCAACAATCTCTCATCATCAGGTACCTGAGACACAAGCACCAGAACCAGAGGAACAGATGCTGAGGGTTGTTGAGTACTGCAGTGCGTGTGTGTGTGTGTGTGTGTGTGTGTGTGAGGAGCAGTGTTGAGGAAAAACTCTGTTCAGAATATCTGAGATGTTCCTCACACTGTGAGACTTTTGGTTGAAGACCAGCCTGAGAAACGGTTCATATTCAGCTTCAGGACTTTAGACACAGGACACTGGACTTGGACAATATTCAACTCACAGACTGATAAGGGAATGGAACCCAGGAGAGGAGTAGACGAAGGAGAAGAAGCTCCAGAGTCAAGAATGAACCTACGTAGACTAGCCAAAGTTGTTGGGTCACACTGACGCCCCCTAGTGTTGTTTCAGATGACAACAGACTTCCAGTGCCCCCAGTGGATCCAGAATACATATATAGGTGCTGTTCAGTCAGTCAAATATATATATATACACATGTACCATTTGGTTGTACTTTAGGTTGTGTCAGACCAGAAGAACTTTGGTTCCACATGTTCACATTAATCAACAGCACAAAAACAGGTTGAAATGAAACTCTAAAACCTGGATCTGAGTTATCAACAAGCTTTGATGTAAGGTGAACCTACAGTTCCTGAGGACATGTGGAGGGTTTGTCCATACGATGTCCTTCCTTCAGGAGTTTGAAGAGCTCCTCCACCGGAACTCCAGGGTATGGAGATCCACCAAGGGTGAAGATTTCCCACAGCAGAACTCCAAAAGACCACCTGTGGACGGAAAGGTCACAAAAACCAAAGTATGTTTATGACAAAGAAAAAAAAACA